ACCTTGTAAACTACTTATATAGGCCAACCATTAAAAATAAGAACACGCTACTAGCACGAGCAAAGCTAGCAGGTGTTTTGAATCCTCGTGGTCCCAACAGCGCAAGGGTACCAGGCACGGGTAAGCCTTTTACGAGATCACCGAGTGTTCAACACTCGGCTGGAAGAAATAAAAGGGAGGCAATTCAAGCACTCCCAGTCGTGCAAATAGGCAACAATAAGCCGTCACGTAAAACCTCCCGATAATAATCGGCCAATACACAAAGTCTCTTGGCCTTGCCGGATGAACCCTCGCTACAGAGCTTCGAGTTCACCGACAGGCATAACACACTCAAACAAGCTTGACCTGACGCTTACCTTGAAGCCGGACGTCGCTCTGTGTGCTTGAGTGGAAATTCTGTTCTGTATTTAAGCTTACCCTTTCGGGTCTATTCCTATTAAGAAGTCCTAATCAAGTATACAAATATCAAGTGAACAATGATCCGTTATGGATCTTCTTGCATACCAAGCGTCGTCTGCACTGTCGCATGAGCATCTTTAACGGTCCATGCCCTGTCCCAGACGGTGAACGTGCCTTCCAAGGGTCGCTGAGTCTTCCGCGAACTCATCCCAACCGCCACTGAGGGTTCGTACCGTAGATGGTCCGCTGAATGCGAATCCGGCCAGTCCATTATTAATAATAAGGACAGCCTGGATTCAGTGACATATGGTCGTATCCAATGCTCGTTGAAAGCTCGGGAGTGACGCCATCGAGTCCCTGGCACCTTGGCGTCTCCGTACATCACCTGACCGAAGGTTCGTCGCTTGAACATCTTGGGCGGTGTCACGTCTTTGTCGACGGGTGATAGTCCGCAACTACGGAGAAATCACTACACCACAGTATGTTTATCTACCTGACGGCTCTGACCTGTGTCTATGGGAATTACGTAGGACTTGTGAAAAACTATTACGCGTCCATGAAGGCTGTTGATGATTATCGAATGGATCTAGCATGGTTGCGTGGAGAGTGGAGTAGTATGACTCCGATGAAGCATCAATTTTTGGAGGAGGCACCGGCCACCTGCAGTGTTGTCACGTGAAGTTGCGCAACTGTTTCGCCAGTCGCCATTGTCTCGGACGTTTGTCATACCTTTAGGGCCTGCAGGACGCAGTGTTACTTCAACACTTCGCCATATAGTGGGCAAGTTAGCGAGAAGCAAGCGTCTTAATGACGCCGTGATGGATGCAGCGCTCTGGCATGTGTCAACGTACTGCAAAACCTGCTACGCTATCGACGCTATCTCCGTTACTAACGAGAAGAGATTCGTTCCAGATTTCTCTTTGGCGTCATGCAACTACGTGCTGGTGCCTATTCACATGGCTGCCTTGAAGCACTGGATTATTCAAATTGTGGAGATTCAGATGGCCGATCCGGATACGTCCAAGCACAAGATATGGGTAACTTTCTACGATCCATTAGGCGTGGCGTCTAACTTAGATGTGTATCAAGCAAAGTGGATATCATTCACGCTTCCACTACTTCAACAATGCTTTGATCGAGATCAAGACAGAGAGAAGTTGCGCAAGTGGGTGTCTAATCTGGTGACAACAAAACGCCAGATTAACTCGGGAGACAGCAAAGCAGTCACAACAACTGGGCCAAATGATGATGGTGCAGCGCCCATGACCTCTCCGTGCTCGTTACCTAAAATTGTTGCAGTTCCGGTTACGACCCCCAAGCAAGTAGACAGTGTAAGTTGTGGTATTATGTGCATTGCGCAGGCCTATAGCTACGTGACTCGCGTGCGATCGCTGAAGGCATGTAACTCGATTTCAGACAGTGATTTGGCTCAAATGAGACTGCGCCTACTGTGGACAATGCTACATAAGTCAACTGGCGATGCAACTAGAGATAATGAGGGCTGGGCGCAGCTATTAGACATTCGGAAGAAGGTGAAGACAGCATTCAAGAGCTGCTGAGAACATAATTCATGTATAAATGAATTAAACTATGTCTTCTTTTTACGAATAACATCACTTAATAATGTAGAGAATGAAACATTCACGTTGTGACGGAGCTCCTTTCCTTCTGTTGCTGTCGTCACCGCATCTCTCATATTATCGCCTACAGTTTCCGCAATATCTCCATGAAGCTCCACCAGCGCCACGAGAAGATCCTCCATCTTGTTCAGCTTGAGCTGAAGCTTCTCAAGCTCCGAAATCCGGCTCCATAGAAGCATTGAAGAAGCTTCCTGCAGTTGCAAGCATTCGCTGTTCACGTTTTCAGTGTGCATGGTCTGCGCGGCGTGTCCTCCGGCACCTCGCTCGATGCTCTTGCTCCGTCGCGTTATTGACTTTGTGTATCTGCGTCGTTTCGCCAACTGAACCGGCAATGACTCCGAGCTTAACCGTGCGAACCGGTTCATGTGGAGGCTGGATCGCATGATATATTGCGTGAGTGGTGGTTATATATTATTCGATTTGAGGGGAAAGGTGCCGAAGCAGAAATAGCAAGGTGCTGATCTCGTAATTTATCGATCCGATTAGACAGGAAAGGTGCTGAAGGTGCCGCTACAAAGGTGCATTAACGAGAGCGCCGAGCAACCAACGGATGCCATTATTGGGACAGAACATTCCACAGAACAAACATCACCACAGACCTAACTCTAAAAGAGACAATTGACACCCTATGCACTGCTGCTGCGGGACTTGAGCTCACAATGCAGCGATTGGCTAGGGCGATCATGAACCACTGCACCATAAGCAAACCCAATAGTGAGTACAAGATATAACCCACAACTGAGATTAATAATGAACTCTGAAAAAGTTTGTTCACGTGAATTATTCTCAACAAACTTGAGTGAGAATATTTAGTGTATGAGATTATTTATCAACTTAGATTAATTACCGTGACCACTGTACCGGTATAGTTGCTCTTAGTACCACTGCTGCGGATGCCAACCCCTGTGCCTTTGTCTTCAATAGATAGCTTCAAGCTTATACATGTAATGTCAGAGTGATGCTCGCTCTGCGTTCATTGGGCCAAAATCACCGCAAGATATCATCCGTGTCATTTCGCGTTTGCCCTATCAACCTTGTGCTCTTGTTATGGACGTCAAGAAGCGCGGACTACTTAGCGTCGCATACGCTGGCGTGGGCGTGGTCTTCACCGCAGCTGCCAGGTTTGACTGGCTGTCCAAGGGCGCGGCCGCCTCGCTCCTCTCGCTCGTGTGGTTGGGCTTCGTGCTCGCCATCTCCTGCACCGAGTCGTGGGTCAAGTTCCGCGCTCCGTTCATGCCACGCCACCTGGCATTGGACTTGGGTCGTACCATGTTCGCGGCGCTCAACTCGGTGGAGATCGGGCTTTGCGTGGGGCTCTGGCTGCCGCATTTCCTCGTTGCGTCTGATGGGGGAGATGCTGTGTGGCGCCTCGTCCTTGCCACGCTGCTACTGGCCGTCCAGGCTGCGTGGCTCTACCCGAAGCTGCAGCTCACGGCCGAGTTTGCTTTGTATGAAGCGCTCAAGGAGATGGACGACGACAGTATGTCATTCAACCAGAAGATGCAGTTCGGCGAGATTAGACACCAGGTCCAGATCCAAGATCGTCCAAGGGCGATCTACCACATCCTCTACGTCGGCGCCGAGTTCGTCAAGATCCTGACGCTTGTCAGCTTCGCGTTGCACTTCCTCAAGGCCATCCCCGCGTGAGCTCAGTAGGAAGTTTTTTTTGCATACTTTGTTCAAGATACCTCGTAATCGTTCAGTCATTGGTTGAAATTTTGCGTGGACGAGGTCAGTTGTTAAGACGTGCATGTTGCGCTCGTCGATTCCTCTGGTTTCACAGTGCTCGTGGCAGCGTCCTCTCCGTCGTGTGTCCATACATTGTAGTAGTATGAATGGTGTAGCTCAAGGCTCAGATGCGGCTGAAACGCCGACTAAGCAGCCTCTGATCATGCAGTACTATTTGGTAATTGAATCAACCTCTTTATACTACGTAGCATACACTGTGAACAAGAACTTGACCTGACTGCTTTACAATGCTAGCGTCAAGGAATTATTCTCCCTGAGGAAGCTGCGCATGTAAGAGCTACACTGGAGGCTCCTCTTCCTGCCTGCTTTCGAG